GGGGGGGGGGGGGGGGGGGGGTCACATTCGCGGATGGGGAGATTCTGATGAGGTGGTTAAACAGGACACGATATTGCAGATGTCCTCTGAAGAAGTCTTACCAATCGAATTTTGTAGTGCAGCGGCACGTGGAGAGATGGCGGAATTATTTTCATTTCAAGCGGAATTACAAACTGAATCGAACTAGAGCACTAGGTTGTCAGATGGAAACTATTATTTATAAACAAATGACGATGGTTAATCACTTGTAATTCGTCAACAGATGAATGTAATGCATTTTTCACTATTTAAGGATGACTTAATTGATTAGAAATTTGAAAAAACTAACGACGTACTAATTTTTTTTATTCAGGCATGCATGACCTCTCGGCCTTTTACATAACTAACGACGTACTAATTAAGAATCAATGTTCAGTCGGCGAAAAAATTCGATGCTGCCGAAAGTCGACTTTCCCTCTGACAAAATCAGAAATCTGACCTTTGATGGAGGTGAAAAAAATTATTTTGAACGTGAAATACAAAAAAAAAATAAACAATTTCAATTGGAGTATGTTTCTAAGGACTCCCTCAAACCCTCAAAAAATTACCAATCCCCTCGGAAACTATTGGGGAACAAATAATTATCAATGCCCCTTTTTTACGTTTTCCTCGAAAATTTCCAGCCGTTTAGCTGCACCTGTTAATACAAATGAAATTCGAAGATATGGTGGAGGTCGAAGACCTCGAAAATATTTCCGAGGTCGACGACGTAACTATTTGAACTCGAGGTAAATCATTCATCTACTGCATTAACGAGTATTCCCAACTAGTTGTAAATGAATATTTCCAAAAAAATATCAATTCATGCTTCTCAATTCAAAAAATTGACTTCCAGCTTGATTTAAGACTCTCTGCGTTCAATCCACCGATTGAAATCAATTGCTGTATTTAATATTGATAGAGATAAGCTATCGAACAGTAAAAGATGATGAATACTTTTCTTTCCGTCTTCCCCAAAGAATCATTCAAAACATTTGGACTTGATAAAAAAGATAAATTTATTTCATTTCAATTCATTTCAATATTTATAAAACTTTATAGCAAAATATTCCCGAACAAGCATCAGACTTCTCCTCTTCCGAGTCGAAATAGTTGACTTGAAGCTCAATTTCCGACTCCGTACGTTCGATCCATCGATCCACATCAATTCCAGTGTCCAATGTCGATAGACACGAAGCTATCGAGGGGCGAGAGATGACAAAGGCCCCCTTTTTAATGTGTTCCTTCAGGAATTTCCAGACGTTCCTCTGCTCCTCTTCCGACAGATAAAATTCAAAAACATTGTGCAGGACCACGACGTCAGCCTCTCGCACCACGTCCCCAGCGTCTTCTATCCGTTTATTGATAATCTCAATGCGTTTATCCATCTTGTGTTTACGAACGACCTCGTTCTGCAGATCGCACCAATCCTTGTTCATTTCCACACCGATTATCTTGTCTGCGTCAGTGTAGACGTACGCCTGGGGGAAGAATAAATTCAGCTCTTGTGCTCATTGAATTTTTTAATGTGATTGATTGGAGATTGAATGGAATGGACAGTTGATTTACTCACGCCGTACAAGACTGCGCCCAGTCGTGAGCCAACGTCGAGGACGATCTTGCCGTCCAGGGTGGGCAGGAGGGTATTGAATATGTGGTACAACTCGTCGCGAGAGACTGAGTGGGATATGTATACTGAAAAGGCGATTATTATCTCCATAATTCTCATTCTCTTTGAATTATCTAACGGAAGACTAGTGTGAGTTTCAAACTCGCGAGCTATTGGAGTGAGATTTACAAAGGTTTTTTTTTTAATTTTTGAAAAAAATGTGTGGATAAGAATTACGAGTTTTTTTGAAATTCGACTCCTACACAGCTAATTTTTTTTTAATGTAAAATGGCCCGAAAAATGTATCTGAAAGAATCGAGAATATATTTTCAATAGTTTAAGGATAATTTTTTTGCCTATTTTACATAAATGGGGCGAATTTTTTACATTAAACAAAACCAAATTAATTGTGTAGGAATCGAATTTCAAAAAACAACTCGTAATTGTTACTGTACACATTTTTACAAAAATTTTAAAATTGGTATAAGTTTGAATACGTTGACTCATTTGGAAAAGCCAAATTTTTGCGATAAAAATCACTGATAGGATCATTCTAATTCCACAAAATCACAACTTTTTTCTCTTGTATACATAATCTGAATTCTCTTTGAATTTTTTTCTGTAATTTATCTTCTTCGAATATTGAGAGAATTTGCAAGTGTAACCCATTAAAAATACAGTAAATTGGAAATACCTCAAAGAATGTGAACTAAAAATATGAAAGAAAGAAAAAAATAATTTATAGAACGAGATATGTTGTGCTAAATAATCACGTGGATAGTGTAAAAACCCAAAATAAAGTTTCTGGTATATAAAAATCATGTAAAGAAAATATTTTACTGAGAGAGTCAATGTTCCTAGAGCCACAGTCCTTGCAATAATGCCTGGACAATTTTCCTTCCTTTACCAAATCATGGACATCGTCGTCGTTATATAGAAAGCCATCTACGTGCACTGTGATTTTGGGATCACAATCGCCGTTCTAAAATGAAATTCATGGCATTAGACTGATGATAAAATGTGAACAAAAAGAATCAATTTATTTTACACTCATTTTTGGAGGTCTCAATTTCCTTTACACAAAACAATCTTTACCCAAAAAATTAATGTCATTAAAATAACTACAAATGCGAATGACCGAAGGAATTGAGTGGTTTTGCTCAAATTTTTTGGATCTAAAAAATATGAAAGGCGTCGTTGAGACATTTTTTATATCTAAATTGTGTTGACACAAAAAATTCTTATGAATATTTAGTCCCATCAGGTTTGGAAGTTGAAAAATGAGAAACAAAATTGAAAACTTGAAGAATTCCTCATTAATCCGGTAAAAAGGAGGTAATTATGATTTTTTTTCTCAAAATCTCTATCAGATTTTGAAATATTGATTGAAAATAAATCATCAAAGACTTGAAATAATTACCGGACCCTTCGTCGGGATTTTTATCTCCTCTGAGGGTAGAACGGCGTCGAAAGGAACTTTCTCACGGATCTCCTTGACAATTTTGTTCAACGTCGCCACTGGATCGTCCAGCAAATGCTCGTCCTCGTCCTTGAAGTCGTCGTCTGTAATAGAAAGTTTTATTAGTTTTATCAGTGATTTTAAGAGAATCATTTGGGTAAGAAGGCAGGATAGTGTACCGAATCTCTAATTTCCCTAATTGCATTCGATCATTTACAAATTCTTTTCTTTCTGTTTCCTCTCGTTTTGACATTCTCTTTCCTCTCGTTTTGGCCCATCCTTTCATATTTTATCTTCGTCTCTTTTAATTTAACAAACCTTTTGCTATTTTAACCCACGTGCTCTTCAATATCAATGAAGAATTACCTGATTCGTCCCCAATTTTAATCGTCATCCACTCTTGAATCGCAAATGACAGCAGATGCTCACGATGAGATTTATTCAGACTCTCCATTATCTTCCAAAGTTGAGTTTTAGCATCTTGCAGAGATATTTCCTTATCTGACATGACTACAAGTGATCCCAACAGACTACACGTGGTTGATAACCTAAAACGTCTGCGCAATTTCCTCAATCAGAAATTCTCCTGATTTTCACAATTCCCAAGCAATGTTGAAGTCTAAAAAAATAGAAAAATTAATTTTGCAGTCAAAGTCGTCAATCATGTCTTAAAAATGCAAAAATACCACGTGAATAAATACTTTACCGCTGAGAAGTGATTTGTGGACAGTTGAACACTCATTGATGCACGTGCGCCTCGGAGAAATGCGCAGGCAACTACTGCGCATGCAAATTTCTTCGAATTCAAACACCTCCACATTACAGTCTTTATTTACAATCACATCTCTATTTTTATTTTTGAAAAAAATGAAAAAAAAAATTATTGATTTCATTGATTGAACAAAAGCCGTCAAAAAATATAATTCAAAACTCTCGAAAATATTTCTATTCATACATTGAGAGAAATTTTTTATTCAGATTCAATAAAGTTTATTTAAATCAAATGGTAGTAACAATTTTTCATTCAAACTTGCACTTAATTTTCATTTCTATTTTTCTTAGCTCAAATAAATAGCTTTTTCAAATAAAAATGAATGTTTTAAAAATTATTCGACTATTAAACTACGTTTCTTCATCGTTTCTCCTGATTTAGACTTTAACATTGATAACAAAGCAATAACATTGATGATAACATTTGAAACGAACTTATTAAGATGTGATAAAATCACTCACTTAGACCAAATAAATAGTTTATTAAATTCCAAAATTCTGAGGAATGCAGAAATTTCTTATTTTGGATAACAAAAACATTTTAATCGAAATAAATATGAGTTTACTAATTTCGAACAAAATTAATGTTGAAATGAATAGAAAAATTTCAACTGGTTCACGTCGGTTTAGCTCTTAGCTGAGTCTTCCAGGGATATCTCCGAATCTGAGGGAGATACCGAAATTATCATAGTTACCTTTTTTATAGCCCTCAATTCGCTCTTCAAAAGAGGTCATGACAAAAAACTTGCCATCCCCCTTAGATTTCGAGGTATTAATTGAAAACTGGCAAATAATCAAAACTGCCTTAAACGACTTTATCACTTCGCTACTGATTTCTCTGAATGCATTCGTTCGAATCGTTTCAACCACCTGGGACAATCAAAATGGCCAAAAAAATCCCAAATTATATTGAAATAGATTTTTATTTAAAAGCATCTCCACATCACATCGCACTAAACATTGGTCTAATAATTAAAATTACAATCCGTCTTCTGCACCTGAAAATATCGTTGAGATTGTGATGTTTCCAGGGACACCATCAGTGCTCCCCTCGACAAGCTACCCCATTTGATTAATATAATTCGGGTTGATCATTGAATCATCTTATAATAATCCCTTAAATCAATTTTCAGTGGTTTTAGATCACCCTACGTAATGACTAGGTTAGTAGAACATTTCATGCAATCATTTTATGTTTTCTCTCGAGTGACATTTTCAAAATCAATTGTATAAAAAACATGAAATTATTCATCTTGTCCGAACGTTTACCAACGAAATTCAACAAATCGTATATATAACAAATATTCAATTCACATTAATGCAATAGCATTCGCTTTGGCAGTTAATTTTTCATATTGATTTCAATAATATCAATTATCAGGAATTATTCATGTACCAATTGTGTAATTACTCGTAACTTATTCAGAATATGAATTATCGAGAAATAGAGAATACCAAGTGAATACAATATCTTGATTAATTACGATAATCTTAATCATAAATCGTAAATAGTTTGAAAATTCGTTAAATGATGACTGAAGCAGGGGAGACCGGGCAAAACCACAACTACTTATCAACATTTAATTGTTCATTTTTATTGCACGTGTTTGATAATTGCTTGGATTCACTGAATTTAGTCTTCAGGGTTTCATTATTCACTTCTCCCTGTTGTTGCCTCAATCTCCCCTACAATTCAATTCGTATTTCACCTGTTCTCACAATCCTATTACATTTTAATTCTTAGACACTCCAGAGTAACTGTTTAATTGATTAATTTCATCATTCGGACGTATCGACTGGAGGGAAGGGCCAGGGTTGTATTACTGAGGCCATCTCTCTCTGACACTTCGAAAAATTCTCACTTCAAACGGAGAGAAATTCTTTTGAATAATTAATCGTCAAAATTAATAGTGCCATTTTTAATTAAAAAAACGAAATTAACTGCGTGGGAAACAAACAATAAAGAATTAATTTTTTTGCAATAATTATTCGTTTTTAGAGATGTATAAGCGATCTTCAATGTATGAAAAATCTCACTACACTAGTACGCGACTTTTCTAAAAAAATTCCATATGAGAACGGGAAAAATTCACGTGCCGACACTAGAATTTTCCCAAAGAATTTCCCTCCGTGCGCCGATCAATTAAGTAAATTTGATTCTTACGTTAATACAGAAATATATTTATGTACATGTACGTATAAAGTATACATCTAGTTCAGTCCGGGAAAAAAACAACGTAATAATAAAAAACATATTCGTCGTGAAAAAAAGCGAAACAGAACACAGCGTCGGTTTTTCATCCAGGTGCGGTTAGTGGCGAATTTATTTTTCATCGAAGATGGGCAGAAATAAAAAAATGAAAAATTGCGACTGAGCTACCAGACAAGTCTAAGCACCGGAAAAATCATCACAAGCGGAGGACGAGTTGTTTTATGAATCTTATTGAATTATCGGAATATTTTTTGTTTCGAGGGGCTACTCACTCCTGACGGAATCATCATTGAAACCACGAATTCAACGAATGCAAATTTAGTACAACTTGATGTAATGTTCAGAAAATCATTGTTTTTCATGAATGATTAGAAAAGATTGGGGAAAAATAAATGCTTCTGTTATGAATTAAACTTTATTCATTGTGATTTCGATGACTTCAATGTCTCTGAAATCAGTGATTTCGAATTAATGGAATCATTGGAAGTCAACTGCAGTCATGAAATACTCAAATGGGGAATGGGTATTTCAATTCGGAGATGATTCTTTTGTATCAGGCCGGGTTGTAGCAAGCCCTCTTAAGTGTAATATAAGGGGCAGGCACTAAGGGTCAGAATATAAGGGTCAAAAAGTAGGTGAAAAAATGAGGGTCAGAATATAAAAGTAAAAAAAGTAGGTGTCAGGCAATGAGGGTCTAAATATAAGTCATATATTATGCTTGATCTCCGTTTTTAGCCCTTATATGACCCTCACTGCCTAACACCCACTTTTTTTACTTTTATATTCTGACCCTAATTTTTTATCCTAATATTCTGACCCTCTTTTGTTAACCCTAACATTCTGACCCTCATTCCTTCACCTTTACATTCAGGCCCTCAGTTTTTGACTCTAATATTCCGACCCTCATTTTTTAACCTCCACTTTTTGACCCTTATATTCTCACGCTTAGTGTCTGACCCTTATATTACACTTGAGAGCGCTTGGTACAACTCGGACTGATACGAAATAATCATCCTCGAATTGAAACACCCATCCCCCATTCGAGTATAAAATATACTTGAGTCAAGTATATTTTACTCTCGAATCAGGTTTATGCATATACTTGATTCTGGTATAAAATATACTCAATTCCAGTATGATCACGTGGACTTGATTTCGAAGTTATGATGTGAACTTAAATGTAAAGTATTATAAATCGTGGAGTGAATAGCCCCTCGTTTCGTTCAGTTGATCCAGCAATGAAGGGGTCGATATGTGGATTTCACTCTGAAGTCGTGTGAATTTCCCGTTTCCCCACTTCACCAATGAATTCCGAATTCTCGGGCCCTTTTTTACAAAGAAATTATCCGAGTTCAGATTAAGCCGTCGAAATAGTTAAGCTGCTCTCTCGATGATTGCCCTGAGCGAGAAAGAAACGGACTAAGATTTCCCCCCGCTCTCACTCGGAACAGACTGAATAATTCTTCATCAACGATCAACATTAGATTCTCTAAAGAAAAAACGATATATCATCTCACTATATTTCATTTCTCGTCGCTAGAGTTGATCTCTAGAAATGCAGGAAATGTAGTATTTCTTTTTCTCACGGTTTTTCACAGATAAGATTTTTAATCATCTCACAGTGAGAAAAATTTGAGGAAAGTCTGCGGTGGGATGGGAACGTGGAGGGAGGATTGGTCGACGTCAGCCAATTTCTCTTGAAACGCTGGGTCCTGGTCAGCAATGCAGGGATGCCCGAGTGATCGCCAGAAGAGGCAACGGCAATTCCTACATAATTGGATCATCTCGGCGTATTCCTCGCGAAGTCCAAAAGATCTTGATTTAAAAATAGATAAAATGAATTTAATTGAAAGAAAATGGGCTTCCAGTATTCGAGGGCTGTCTCAGAATCTCTCAGAGATAACGAATTTTTTCTGAGGGCTTTTCTGTGGCCCATAAAATTCTCAACAAAAGTGATGATCAATTAAATAGAAAAATAGTAAATTCTTTCAGTTCCATTATTGTTGCTCCGAATGAAAGCATTGCATTCGTCAAATCCGAAATTTCTAATTTTTTAGCAAAAATATATTGACTATGTTGTGATGAAAACAATTTCCCACGAGTTCTGAGGATATCCAAGTACTTTGGCTACTTTTTCTCCACTGAAGTGCTTTTCTACTTTTGCAATCGAACATTAGAACTTACATTTGAGCCCTAATTGACCCCAAGTGTCCGGACATTTTACAATGATTTTGTTATTTAAACTTTGCAAGTCTGAATTTAAATCTCGATATTGAACCGTTGGAAAACATTTTAAAAATCTAAAAAAAATCATAAAGTTTATTTTTAAAGGAAAATTGATAAAACAATTTGAATTAATTTAACGACAATCAATTTCCCCCCAAAAAAAACAATTGTTGGGAAACGTACATATGTATTCGTATTCAAAATTTTACTAGAAATCGATTTCATACCTAAAAAAAAGTAATATTTCCGTGCAAAAGGTAATTTGATTTTATTCAAATTTTATTCGCGCAATTTAATTGAAAATTAAATTTTCAATTGAACAAAATAAAAAATAAAATGAAATAATAACAATAATAATAATATAATAACAATATAAAATTTATATGTTATGCTTGTGAAATATGTACATAATATATGTATTTTCTTCAATATTAATTTTTTTTTCATTTTGTGCCTTCTTCGTCAAATTTTTCAATTAAATTGCGTGAGAATAATTTGATGATTGCAAATGGTTGAATCTATCGTATGGCAAATACTGCCCCAAACTGTAAAAAATGCTTGGATATCCCTAATATCTTATCAACCTGGAGAGAAACAGCAAAAGATCACATAAAATTCAGCCCAAAGATCTTCTGCCATATTCAATAAACCCTCAAGACACTGAAATTCAATAGCTTCAAGATTAAAAAACTGCTTTCTACCTCCGAGCTAATGTAAAAATAGTTTTCCAATCCTTCCCAGGATTATTCTGCATAGTAGTAGCAATCTGTTGCGAAGTGAAATGATACTGTGCAAGTTCTCTCCATATTCTCTGCTCCTGAGCGAGAACAGCGAGGTGCTCACAAGCCTCCGAAGACGCCTCAATGTCCCTCGGATCACTGAGACGCAGGAGTACCTCCCTGCGGCACTCCGCAGGTAGATCAGCCCACTGTGGATGCTGCTCCTCATCCGGCTACCCCATTCACAAAGCCCGAATTATTCCTCTCAATAAAACACTTTGACACGAGGGGGACACACTCACCCCCCCATTTTTACGAGTAATCCTCACCTGAGTTATCGTGATGGAAGACGCGATGTGGAGGATTCGGTCGAGTGCAGCTTTGTGCTTCTCCCAGAGGATGACTGAGCCGAGGGGTCGACCCCCCCAGCAGCATCCTGCACTGAAGGCACGTACGCGTTCAATCAGTCTACGGAGCTTTCCCGTTTGCTGTTGCGATAAGGAAACTGAAGACAGAGCGATTGGAATTAATCCTCTAAAGAAATCAATCTCGGGAGGAGTGAGCTTTACATGAGGAGTTTTTCGAAGATCGCGATTTCATTTTCTTATTATGTCTCGCAAATTTTGGTCAAGTCACATGTCCACTGAAATTTTAGGGAATTTTGTAATTATGAATTCACGATAGGGAACTTGCGTGATTTTTTTTACTTCTCAATCTCAAGTTTCGACCCTAAGTAAATTGTATTCATGTTTTGATTAAAAATTAAAGTGGATTGTGAAATCCTTGTCTTCTTGCTGTTCGAAATTTGGAATTTCATCGAATTCCTAGGGAAATGTCAAATTTAATGGATTTGTGATAATGAAACTGAAGCCAGAGCGATAGGAATTAATCCTCCAAAGAAATAAATCTCGGGGGAAGTGAGCTTTACATGAGGAGTTTTTCGAAGATCGCGATTTCATTTTCTTATCATGTCTCGCAAATTTTGGTCAAGTCACATGTCCACTAAAATTTTAGGGAATTTCGTAATTATGGATTCACGATAGGGAACTTGCGTGATTTTTTTTACTTCTCAATCTCAAGTTTCGACCCTAAATGATTAATTTTTCATTTAAATCAATGAAAATTGTCTATTTCAATTCAATTATTCCATGAAAATTGGAGTAATTTATATGGAGTAATTATATTCATGTTTTGATTAAAAATTAAAGTGGATTGTAAAATCCTTGTCTTCTTGCTGTTCGAAATTTGGAATTCCATCGAATTCCCAGGGAAATGTCAAATTTGATGGTTTATGTGATAAAGAAACTGAAGCCAGAGAGGACTTTTTCGAAGATCGCGATTTAATTCTCTTATCACGTCTCGCAAATTTTGGCCAAGTGACATGTCCGCTAAAATTTTAGGGAATTTCGTAAGTAAGAATTCAGAATAGGGAACTTGCGTGATTTTTTTTACTTTTCAATCTCAAGTTCCGCTTCCAAATGATTAAATTCTCATTTAAATCAATGAAAATTGTAAATTTCAATCCAATTATTCAATTATTCCACGAAAATTGGACTAAATTATATTCATATTTTGATTAAAAATTAAAGTGAATTATGAAATTCTTGTCTTGGAATCCTTGATCCGTAATATCTTTCGATCCGAGTGGGTAAAAGTGTCTTTTGAACCGTAGGTGTGGAGTGCTACCCTTTCAAGGGCCAAAGTTTTTTTTGACCAGTGGGAGGCCACAGAACTACATGACTGAGGGTCAAAGGGTGAAACGAAATATTCGTGACTTTAAATTATGGCCAACCTAGGTAGCTAATATGAATTTCAATTCAATTTCTTCGAGACAGCTCATGTGATAATTACGAGTGCTCAGGTATATAGACGGGACCACCCTTCCAGCTCCTCCCTTCAAGAGATACATAATTCTTAAAAATTATAATTTGTAAATTACAAATTAGATTCAAGAACGCACACGGCGCGGGCGTAAAATGTCGCTTTACGCACGAGTAATGAAAATAAGTTTTTGTAGTCCATGAATTTCTCTGCAAAAAATAAAAAATTGCGAACTTTCAAACCCCCTCACGTTCACAGATAGACCTTCCCAATTTCGCAGCTGTCTCCCCCGCCAGAAATTCGTGTTAATAAATTTACCTTCTAAAGCAACTTCCTCCAGCATATTAAACAGAACCCTCTGGGCGCAACCACTCAACCCCCCCATGGTGTGGCTGACCAACAGATCCAACAGTCTAACAATATAGTTAAACCGTCGACAATCGTGAACAGCTGACAGAAAGTCGAGTCTCTTGAGTGCATCGCTGAGTCCATTGAAACCCGCGATCTGCCAAAATTAGAAAGCCCTGGATGAAAAAACACAGCGCAAAGAGAAAGAATGCACCGAAGGGTGAGGGGGATCGCAATGCATGACAGACTAGAATAGGAATTTAAATCAATTATCCCTGAATCGGTGTGTTGACGCCAGTCCAAAAATCCTCACTTCCTGAGGAGCAAATGTGAGGGTCTAAATTTAGCCGGATTCAACACCGGAAGAGTCACTCACCTCGCGGGTACACTTCAGGGTTATATGACAGTGTGGTTGGACGGCATTTTCTGAAAAACGTAAAAACCACTCGTGAATATTTTCCCCCCCTCGCATTGGAGAGCTAAACTAATTACATTTTCCCATTTTTAGAATCACCTTTTTTCTTCTCCTTCTCCTTCTCCCGTTTGTCTCCCTCTTTCTCGGTTCTGAAAAAACGAGGGGGAACGACATTATCACTCATGCACTCCTGGGACTCACTTGGAAAATGCGAAAAAGACATTTCCACTTTAAACTTCTGACGTCGGAAAATGGAACATTGGCGAATGTCAATTTGGCCTTACGCAGTTGGATTTTTTCTCGTTAATTTGAGTAATGAAGGGCGTTGAATTTTCAAGGTCGTGAATTTTAATTTAATTTAAGGGTCTCCAAGTATCTTTTGCGGTTTGATACAGACTACACGGTAGATTCAACCATTTTCAATCATCGAATAATTTTTTTAGGCATGAAATCGAGTTCTGGTAAAATTCAGAATGCGAATAAATTTCTTGCGATTCCGGATAAATGACTTTTATGGTGGAAAATGGATTGTTTATCTATTATCTACAATTTTTTATTCATTTTATTAGTATTGATTGTTGAGGATATCCAAGTATCTTTTGCAGTTGGGCGCAGGCCACACTATAGATTCAACCCTTTTCAATAATCAAATTTATCAATTAAATTAGGTCAGAAAAATTTGAATAAAATCAATTACATTTTGTAGAAATTACTATTTTTTTAACATTCGTTGTTTATAAATAAATAATTGAAATTGTTTAAACGTTGGGAAAATTCATTGTTTATAAATTGCTTACAGAAAATGCTTGTAATTTCCAAAAATTGCCATTTTTTTTAATTATCTCATTAATTTTCTTCCAAAAGTAAACTTTCTAATTTTTTTTTCAGATTTAAAAAATGTTTTCTAACGGTTCAATGTCGAGATTCAAATTCAGACTTCTCAAGTTTAAACAATAAAATCATACACGGAGAAATTTTCTATAAAAATTCTAGTACGAGTACTGGAAAAAATTACAATCCACCGGCTGTGAAAAATTCTAGTGCTGTTACGGTAAAATTTCTGGAGATTTCTGTGAAATTTTCACAGAAATACGGGAAAAAATTGACGTTTTCCCAAAAAAATTTCTGGTGCCAGCACTAGAATTTTTTCCTGGCCGTCACTTTGCGCCTCTTTTCCCGACTAGAATTTTTCTAAAAAATTTCTCTGCGTGTACTAAAATGTCCGAAAACTTATGGTTCAATGGGGCTCAAATGAAAGCTCTGATGTTCGATTACAAAAGTAAAAAATCATTTCACTGGAGAAAAAAAAGCCAAACTACTTAGATATCCTTAAGTCTGAATCATTCATGGAGTTTGTTATTCATCTTGAAAATTCAAGTCGTTAAAAATGTAAATGAGAGAGCCGAGCAGACAGAGCATTCCAGTAATTTACAATCTCCTCTGTTTTCATTGCCCCGATCTCCCCTAATCGCTCCAAGTGATTTTGGTGAGAGATTGATGCTGCAATGCCACACCAAAAAGGTCACTCCCTCCTCTCCCCAACTCATTACAACTCGGTTTCCAGTTGTCACCGCCGCCCCCCTGGACCCCTCCCACGCCCTCGTTCGCGTTATCTCATTTTTTCTTCACTTTTCACGTGACTAAAACATGAAAAAATTGTAGAGTACGTCCTCAAGTCTCCTCATTATACCCCAGCAGTAAACAGACCGCGGAGACTTGCCACCAGGCCCTTCACTATCAAAGAGACAGCTTTCGTAAGAACTCATTTGGAAATATTTCCATTTCCACATGAAAATTTTAATTGCATGAAATTCTGATGTTACACACGTGTCCCGAGAAAACATGCGAGTTGTCGAGAGGTCGTACCCACCAGCAGACGCCGTTCCGTGTCAACGAAGACCTTGGGTTGATCCGATTATGCGTCGCTTACCCAGAGGAAAACCTCGACTCGTGTGCGTTTCATCCCGTGGAACGTTAATTCTTGCGGTTATTGCGCAACATATCATGACATCCCATTTCGTCTCGATTCAATGGCTCCTTTGGACTTGTAACAGCGAAGGGAACTGACGGGGGATTCATTTTTGTTTGATTGAAAAATATCCTTGGCCCAGGACACCCCAGTGACCCAGTTTTAGCCATTGGGTCAAACCGATATATGGGATTTCACTCAGCCCCTTTGCCTCACCCCCCGGGAACACAAATCCCTGGAGATTGGCAGGCTCGGGGCGAGGGTTTACCCTGTTACACGTGAACGTACGGCAATTACCAGGTGGACAAAGCCGTTTTTGTATTACACCATTAAATCATTAAAATTATTCACTGAAATTCTGGGAAGAGTCGGGGAAATTTGTGAGAAGCAACATTTCCACTGAAATTTCAGGGGACTTTGAAGGGGGAAATTCAGAATTTCATGGAGAACGGGGGAACTGTTGATTTCAGTTTAATTATTAGGGGGAAATTGATGAGAAATTCGGGACATGCGGAGAAATCTCTCCTGGATTTTTAGATGCCTCTGAAGTTTCAGGGAATTCTTTCAAATATTCCTGGAATTGCCTGAATAATTCAAGGATATTTGGGAGTGAATGTTCATTTTCACTTGATAATTCATGTAAGTTGCGGAATTTTCGTCTTCTTGCCGTTAAAAAATGGGACTTTGAATTTTCAGAGAAACTTGAAATTCCACTGATTTTCGTTCGTAATGACAAAAAATATTTTTTCTGGTTAAATCGAATGCAAAGCCGCTTTCCGGAAAATTTCGCCGAATTTTTAAACAGTGTACATTTCTTTACAGTTAAAAATTTATTAGATAAAGTGGTTTTTACACTTCTTGAATTTTTTTCTACTATTGTTTCACTAAAATTTCAAGGAATTTTGTCGTTGAAAATTCATAATTTCATGGAGGACGTGGGAACTGTGAATTTCAGTTTGATTGTTCCACGGAAATTAATTAAGAAATTAATTAATCAAGAAAAAAAGTCTCCAAAAAATGTTGCCTTCCCCCATTAATCCCGAGATGTTCTCCAAAAACCGCTCCATAAGTTTTCATTCTATCCTTCCATCCAAAAACTTCAAAAATCCGTCATGAAAGGGTCACGATCTCCCAAAAAAATCCCCGATTTCTCCAATGACGAGACAACAAGCGAATCTAAACTAGCCCCACTATTTCCCCCCAAGAAAGCATGACGATTCCACTCTCCATCAATTTTCCACCTGCCCACTCCTAAAAAACCTCTCCATACCAACAAATAAAGGAGTGAAAAAAATCGAGACAGTGGGGTAAAAAGGACCCTTCTGCCATTTTTCCCAATATTCACAGCTCAACTAAAAATTCATTGATTTCGTTTTATCGAGCTTCATTATTCAAAGAATGAAATAATTTTTTCCATCCAAATCCCATGGAAAAAAATTAATTAATAATTTAATGAATTAATAACAAAATGTTTAAAAATAAACTATTAACAATAATTTTTTTTATTAATTAATTTATGAATTCTTTCCCATGAAAATGGAAAATGGAATAATTTGTCTTCCATGAAAAATCCCACGAAAAAAAATTAAATAAAATTACCCCATTCCCCATAATACTAAATGACTCACCAACATTAAAAAAAAAAAAATCAAAGTTTCCATTTTGCCCCATTCACCCCTACACCTGCGATCGATCTCACACATCTCGGCCACAGACTGTATGCCATTGTCCCAGCGATTCAACCTGCACTTTGTTCAACAGTTTCCCCACCATATTGTGGCAAAATCAGGAAATAAAATTTAATGCTGCAAAAGCCCCGCAACATTCCCCGCTCCCCCTCAACCCCTCAACCCCAAAAAAACCTTAAAAATGTGAAAAAAAGCTAAAAAACACAAAATAAACTGCACTCCAAAATGATCTCAAATCACCGAATGTAAACATCGCCTGGTAAACAAAGATGTCGACTGGATCGATTCAACAGCTGTGTTTCCGCGAACAAAGACAAGTGTCTGGTTCACCCCGACTCCCCCAGGACCCCCCAACGCAGCGAATTCTCCCTGAAAATGGCGTCGTTAAATTCACTCACCGTATCAGCAATGACAGTGTCTTGTTATTCGCGCACTCCAGTATTTTCTTTTTCTCCCAGCCCTCGACAGTCTTCACCCACTCCTCTCCGGGACTCCTCCAGTCCTTCGAGATGAACGGCATGACCCTGAGTACCAGCTAAATATCTCGTTACTCTGGTTAATTTTCCCGAAGTGAGTTTTTTCAGGTGTTGACAATTGTCGGAAGATACAAACGGTGAAGAGGACTTCCGCGAGTCCCGAGTGTTTGGTATCCCCTCACTCGCGGGACTGCTGGCTACTGCCAGTTTATCCTCATGCGCATGGCTTTGTTTCCGTGACGTCACGAGGGCATCAGCTGGCCACTGCGACGTTCTCTTATACTGTCAGGCTGTCAACTGCATTACCATGAGAGCTAAGAGCGGGATTCGAGAAATTCAAAAAAGATGGAATTTTGAGATTTAATCGGGCTCCACCCGCAGGCGGTTATTTTTTAATAGAAAGATTTTTAAAAACTGCAAACAAATACTGTAGGATTTTTTCAAATACAATTATTGTCATTTTTTTTTTCACCATTCAATTGCCGTTTTCGTTTTTATAAATAATCCGGTGTTTGTGATACCTGCCTAAAAAGTATACTTTACGAAATGGTTTAGTGTGTGTAAAGCGCTTGTTTTCCGCACGGCGTGCGTAAAGTTCACTTACGTGCGCTCTTGAACTTTACGCACTCGTGCACAAAAACAACCATTTTGTCCCTACCGTTCCGAACAGTGAACTCGGCAGGTATCACAAAAAATAGGTGTGTACGAAAAAGTGGATCTTTATGCACTTGCAACACAATACACTATTACATCGAAGCGAGGGTAGAACCGCGGTTTATAGGACCTAAGACGTAAAATATTGTTCGACACCTGTTAAAATTCCATCTCACTCGTATCGAAATACCCTATTAAAATGGGATATTTGGATAAGAGTTCGGAAATAGTATAATGTTACTAGTAAATAAAATTGCACTTTTTCGTATCCTCGCATAACACACACGTAAAGTTTTACGCATTAGAATAGTATATTCCGATACAAGTGCGTAAAAGTGTTTTTTGACCCGGAGTGTGTGCAAAATTTCACTTTCCACACAAGTGATGTATAATAGAGTGTATTACACGTGCGTCCGAAAAACTGCCCCTTTACGCACTAGTACCACAGTCAACTAATTTAAATTAATTTTCATCGCAATGCGTGCGTAAAAAATCAATTGACACTACACCCAAACAAAATATACCCCTCGAGAAATCTTTTCCTGAAATTATTCCTGTCGGACGCAAGTTTTACGCATTAGAATAGTATATTTCGATACAAATGCGTAAAAATGTTTTTTGACCCAGAGTGTGTGCAAAATTTCACTTTCCACACAAGTGATGTATAATAGAGTGTATTACACGTGCGTCCGAAAAACTGCCCCTTTACGCACTAGTACCACAGTCAACTAATTTAAATTAATTTTCATCACAATGCGTGCGTAAAAAATCGATTGACACACACCCATCTTTTCCTGAAATTATTCCTGTTGGACGCACAGACATCCCTCGCTCCCCTCCGCGGGTAAAATCGCACTCCACCAGAGGTCTCTCAGCAGTTACCCCCGGAGTCTCCTCCCACCCCGAAACACAGTGCACCTCTGACAGATGTCGACGTGAACCATATTCCCCCCGTAGACGACGATCTACATCTCGCCGTCCCTGCCTCTCGTGTCCACCTCTCGCCGTGTTGTGTCGGGTCTCCTCGGACCAACCCTCACCCATTTGCTTCATTCTTAAAAAAAACCGCACATACCCAGTGAATTCACAATAAGTGGAAAATCCAAAGTGAGGAAGACATTCTGCGAGCAAGCAACCTATCGTCGCGCAGTGACTTGCGTCAGCTGGACAGTGAATTTGGGACAGCGGAACGAGACAACTCGTTGTTTTTTTTTACTCCTCTGGGCTTTGCACGCTGGATCACGAGTGTGTGTGTGTGTGTGTGTGTGCAGTTTGATGGCCGCGTCTCGACGCCTTATTTTATTATTCGCGTGAGAGAGCCGACAAAACACGGATTTAACCCCGCGAGGAGGTGAATCGCAACGTCCGGACGCGGGGGACATTGTGCCTTGACGTCGTTTGCAAAATCGTGGTCGAGGGGATTCAAGTGGAGAACAAGTGGATTATCTCTCGCTCGTGATTTCTTTTTTTCGCGTGGTATTTTCGGTGATCGAGAAAATCGCGGGGGCCGGGGGAGTGAGGGAGACAGGTCGATCGAAGGTGGGCGGGGCGGGGAGGACGGAAAGGTAAATTGAGAAGCCTCAGAATTTTTTTTTTCTCGAAAAATTCGACAACTCATTGCGCTCTGAGGCTCGTGGGAATGGGATTCAATTGAGCAACTACGTCATGAAACTGGTTTTTTAGTGGAGAATCTTGGAGGTAAACAATTTGCGCTGATTGTCAACGGAATACGTCGGCTTGAGAGCAATAGAGACGGTTACGGTTTGGCGTGACTGCAGAGGCCCGTTGATATTGTTATTCCTGTGTCGGCCCTGTGTGGAGGGTCATGGTGGGATAGATAGTTTTTGTAGTGTTTCGTAGGTGACGATTGAGGGAGAAATTTGTGCGGGAGGAGCGGGGGAGAGAGGACATGCTTGGTCAACACAAATGACGGAACGTAGTAGAGGCGGACAGGGGAGACTGTGGTTGCAGCTATCGCCAAGGCTGACCTAGCACAAAGGTATGGTTGAATTGTCTGGGGGGGTGTGATAAGGGACTGGGTTTTGTTGCAAGTTTTGGCGATAGGGACTGCGGGGGAGGAGCATTGTCGGGGTGACCCCGTTGGGGGAATGTTGGGAGTCGAGTTGTGGGAGGAATTGTTTTTAATAATACAAAAGGGGCCTGGGGAATTGGGCGAAAATAGGGGGGATGAGGTCATTTCTGGGGAACTCCAGTTTTTGAAATTTCGAGATTCGTTTTCAACTTTAAGATTATTTTGAGGAATTGATAACAGTTGAATTTCATTTTTGTTATTAAATTTTTATTTTTGTTTATTATTTAAATTATTCGTTTTTATTGTTAAACGAATAGGTCTAAACATTTTTTTAGGTGTAGTATTTTTTATTGTGTCCTTGAATAGATAAATCATAAATACATATGATTTATGATCTAACAGGGTCATCCCCCCAACAAGAGTGACCCTGTTAGGTAAATGTTGTTATTGAACTCGTGGGAGGAATTGTTTAAAATAATAGAATAGAGGGAATGGAGAATTGGGTGAAAATAGGGGAGATGAGGTCATTTCTGGGGAACTCCACTTTTTGAAATTTCGAGATTCGTTTTTAACTTTAAGATTATTTTGAGGAGTTGATAAGAGTTGAATTTTATTTTTATTATTAAATTTTTTTATTTTTTTTATTATTTAAATTATTCATTTTTATTATTAAACGAATAGGTCTAAACATTTTTTTAGGTGTAGTATTTTTTATTGTGTCCTTGAATAGATAAATCGTAATACATATGATTTATGATCTTACAGGGTCATCCCCCCAACAAGGGTGACCCTGTTAGGTAAATGTTGTTATTGAACTCGTGGGAGGAATTGTTTAAAATAATACAATAGAGGGAATGGAGAATTGGGTGAAAATAGGGGGGATGAGGTCATTTCTGGGGAACTCCAGTTTTTGAAATTTCGAGATTCGTTTTCAACTTTAAGATTATTTTGAGGAATTGATAACAGTTGAATTTCATTTTTGTTATTAAATTTTTATTTTTTTTTATCATTTAAATTATTCGTTTTTATTGTTAAACGAATAGGTCTAAACATTTTTTTAGGGGTAGTATTTTTTATGGTGTCCTTGAATAGATAAATCGTAAATACATATGATTTATGATCTAACAGGATCACCCTTGTTGGGGGGATGACCCTTTTAGGGAAATGTTGTTATTGAACTCGTGGGGGAATTGTTTAAAATAATGCAATAGAGGGAATGGAGAATTGGGTGAAAATAGGGGGGGTGAGGTCATTTCTGGGGAACTCCAGTTTTTAAAATTTCGATATTCGTTTTTAAATTTACGATTATTTTGAGGAATTGATGGAGTTGAATTTTATTTTTATTATTAAATTTCTGTTATTCATTTTTTTTATTATTTAAATTATTAATTTTTATTAATAATCGAATAGCTCTAGAAATTTTTTTAGATGTAGTATTTATCATTGTGCCCTTGAATAATCCCAAATTGAGGGGAGGGACGGCGTTGGGGTGACCCTGTTAAGGGGATGTTATTGAACTCGTGGGAGGAATCGTTTAAAATACTACAATAAGGGGAACAGGGTGTCAATGAGATGGATGAGGTGATTTTTGGTGAACTCCAATCTTTGAAATTCCGAGTTTTTTTTTTTTAATTTAAGATCATTTTGAGGAAGTAATGGCGTAGGAGGAAATAGTCAGTTTTTTAGTAAATGTCTTTCTCATTATTGAAGAAATAGTTCTGAATTTTTTTTACTTGTAGTAGTATTTTTTATTGTGCCCTTGAATACATTAATTTATAAATACAGGGACTAAGGGGAAGGGGTGACCCTGTTGGGGGAATGTTGTCATTGGACTTGTGGGAGGAATTATTTTAAATAATACAATAGGGGAATGGTGAATTGGGTGAAAATAGGATGGATGACATGATTTCTGGTCAACTCCAGTTTTTAGAATTCCAGCATTTTTCTTGAAATTCACTATTGTTACGAGGAATAGATAGAGTTGGGATGAATAGTCAATTTTTTTAGGAAAAAACTGTCGCCCCCCTATCGCACTCCAAGCTCCTCTCCAACACCTGATCAACCCACCCCGTAGCCCCACTTCCCCTTTAAATTCTCATTTCTCTTCCACCTGAATTTGTTTTCACCCAATCCCCCTCCCCCCCTTGAACCGATGTTAAAATGTCCCCCTCCCCACTCTAATTGGAATTTAATGGCGAAGAGAATAGATTGGTCCACTCGTGTTATAGTGGTCTCAAGGGGCGAACCCGCAAGTTGCACTCTAGCACGATCCTGTCTTTGAAATTAATTCCCCCTGGGCTCCTAACTAATCGAACATAAGGGGCGAGCGGGGGGCATGAAAATACCCTGAGCAAAAACAAGTCAATGCATCCTGAAATGCATGAAATACTGGGGTAGAAAGCACGTCGGAATTCAATCGATCTACTGTTCCATCCCTGATTTATTCCTCCGATGAGTGGAATTCTAACAATGCAGACGTGAAAACAGAGCAGAATACAATTCCATTCTGCTTTCATTACCGAAGGGATCACATTTTCCATCGCAATTACCTCCACTACCCTGGGAGTTTCTGCCGGAGAATGAGAGAAAAAATTGCGGTAAAAAACGAGATGAAATGGAGACGGGGCGGGGTGAGGGGGGGGGGGCAGTGGAATGGGTGAAAATCTCAAGACGGTCAATACTCTCGTAAAGCGATTTATTTCTCAGGAATTATATCCCGGCGTACAACGGAAGTTTTACGGAGGGTTATTATCGGATGTCAATTCATCTTGAATTAGCATTCCAGTGTGAATTAACCTTCGCCCGGTGCAATCCTGGATTTGCTGCATTGGCACATGTATATTTCTTCGGAAAATCTGCAGCGCTCGGTGAATTCCTTCCATTCACCCACTTCCCACTCCTCTCCCCCTCCCGGAGAATGAATCTCCGTCGTTATTTCCGTGCATTTTCCAATATCCGTAAACGAGTCAATCTGCATTTTAATTTCTTCCCTTGACACGACTTACCATCGATCCTCAATAAAGAATTTTTACCCCATTCCATCCAATTACGAATTCATCCCGGGCTGTGCCACTTCAATTGCATTTTTTTTTTACATATTTATATTCCCCGGTGACTAAATGAATTAATTAAATGTCAAGCTCTTGATCCAGAATTCAATGAATATGTCTGTAGTTGCGCGATGCATCGGCGATTGGGACACAGCAATTACGATGGAAAAATCGCTGGTCTTTATGACCTTGAGGAGACACTGGGTCGCGGTCACTTTGCTGTTGTCAAATTGGCCCGTCATGTTTTTACGGGCGAAAAAGTTGCGGTGAAGGTTATTGATAAGAGCAAATTGGATGAGGTGTCGAGGGCTCATCTCTTCCAGGAGGTAAATAAAATTGTTTTATTGGGTTTTTTTACTGGTGCAGAGGGATAAATTGATGGGATCATAGCTGTAATGCCATCAATTTGCCAGTAACTGTCCCTTTCTAATGGATGGGTTTTGAAATTTGCGAGTAGCTTTTGAAGTAGACGAATTTAGGGTGAAATTCTTAACTAGCTTGTGGTGTGAGTTCGTAGTGGGAATTTTCAGAGAAAATTTAAGGTTTCATCATATTGAATATTGAATATTGAGAATTGTAGAATAGTTCCTGAAATTTCCTGAAATTTCCCAACATGAGACCATAATGGCCCGAATTTTCATTGAATTCTCCTAAAATTGACGAAAATCATATAAACTAGTCATTATTTAACATCTCACGCATTTTGAATTCACATTTATCTTATTCTTAACTAGCTTCTGGTTTGAGTTCGTAGTGGGAATTTTCAGAGAAAATTTAAGGTTTCATCATATTGAATATTGAGAATTGTAGAATAGTTCCTGAAATTTCCTGAAATTTCCAAACATGAGACCATAATGGCCCGAATTTTCATTGAATTCTCCTAAAATTGACGAAAATCATATAAACTAGTCATTATTTAACATCTCACGCATTTTGAATTCACATTTATCGATATTAAATCAAATTCACGATAAAATTCTTTATGAATTTCTTCTCTCCCTTTAAATTCGATAATTTTCATAAAACTAGAATATTTCATCAGATTAAATATTGAATAAATTGAGAATAGCAGAAGAGCCGTTCGAATGGCCCCAATTGTCATCACGAAATGAACTGAAAATTCCCCTTCCCATTGAATTTCCCAAATATCGCTGGATTATTCCGGCCTAATACTCTTCACGATTTTCCTCCGAAAATTATGTCACGTTGAATAATTCAAGAATTTCACTTTAACATTCGCCCCAAATTTTCTATCACTCCAAGTACGACCTTAAAACAGCAAATAAAACATGAGCCCCTAAAAAAACCCATCAGGTAAGATGTATGAAGCTGGTGCAGCATCCCAACGTCGTTCGACTTTACGAAGTCATAGACACCCAGACAAAGCTCTACCTCATTCTGGAGTTAGGCGACGGTGGAGACCTTTACGACTACATCATGCGTCATGACAGCGGTCTAACCGAGGAGGTACGTATCTAACCAGGCGCCCTGACACAGTCATAAAGACACATATTCCCTTTATACACCCCCTATATATTATTTTTTTATACCTGTCATTTCAGCTTGCAAGAACGTACTTTAGGCAGATTGTGAGAGCTATCTCGTACTGCCACCGTCTTCACGTTGTACACAGGGATTTGAAGCCCGAGAATGTTGTATTCTTCGAGAAACTTGGTACAGTGAAACTCACGGATTTTGGCTTCAGTAATAGATTCTGCCCGGGACAAAAATTGGAGACATCGTGCGGTTCATTGGCTTACTCGGCACCGGAGATACTTCTGGGCGATAGTTATGATGCACCAGCAGTTGGTTAGTACTTCCTTTATGCTTTATTCATGAGGAGTAGAGTATTAAATTTTTTTTCAATAAAACGCTGTGAGGTTTTTATTCTTCATCTGTATTTTTTTAGCATTAAAATGCACTGTGTGATTTAAACACATTCATTTTACATTAAAACATTTTGAGAAACATGTCACACTGGATTTTAACATTGAAAAGCTTCTGAGATTATTGAAATGAAAATGAAAAAAATGGACAAGCAAAATTCCAGGGACGTGGGTTTTACTATAATATAATTTGAAAAATAATACTTTATTAATGTTCTACGTTTTCTTAATATTCTGATGGATTCATAATAAGGTTTTGGAGGATTTCATAGGATTTATGAATTATTTTTAGAGAAACTTGGATTTCACGAAGATTTTAGAGCATTTTTGGGATTTTTTCAACCGAAAAATCCCTGAAATGCTGAAAATCGAATTTAAGATGGCATTCTTCTCTAATAATTTTCCTCCATATTCAGGAATTCTTTTAGAAAATTAAACACTTCATCATATTGAATAAATTGAGAATTGCAGTATTGTCGCAAAAATTTTCACAATTGTCGAGGATTTTTATGGCAACATCAATTTTTTTTCCCTTTCGGTTTTTACGGTTTTCTTATTCCTTCATCCCGTTTTTCCACTTATTTGTTTTTTCCCAAATGCTCGTTCCAGCTTTTCCAAACAATGTTTCTTTCCTGAGGTGTTCCCGCGTGGTCACCCATCCATCTAGTGGCCACGCTCAGCGCTGCTTAGCTTCCCAAAGCTAAGCCTGCCCACCACCGCAGTGCGCTAGCACCGTAGGGCTGACAACACCAATTTAAAATTCAATTTCTCATTGAACTTCTCAAATATTACTGGATTATTCCATATAAAAACGTCTGACAAAAATCTCGCTTTTAAATCCGCCCCAAATTCTTCACCACATAAAACTTTAATTCAACCTGCTCCTCAATTTAATGAACAATTGGAATATTGAAACATTACCTCAATTATTCACACACGAATGTCACCCAATTTCTTGATGCAGACGTGTGGTCCCTGGGTGTCATCCTCTACATGCTAGTCTGTGGCCAGGCGCCATTTCAAGAAGCCAACGACAGTGAAACATTAACAATGATAATGGACTGCAAATATTCAATACCATCGCACGTGTCAGAGGAGTGCAAGAGACTGATAGCAAGAATGTTAGTGCGAGAGCCCGAGGGCAGAGCCACCCTCGAGGAAATAGCAGCCGATCCCTGGCTCGGCATATCAACTGACACTGATTCTGACAATGTTGAGGCACTACCCCTTGTATCGAGGCAGCAAGTATCCGAGGAGCATCACAATTTAATTATAACTAAAATGGTCAATGGTAATATTGCAACGAAAGAGGAGATACTTGATGCACTCGACAAAAACGAGTATAATCATATCACAGCAACGTATTTTCTACTCGCTGAACGTAAATTGCGTGCTCAAAGGCAGGAGCTTGTTACCAAGACTCGTCCTGAATTGTTGAACGTCAGCTCACGGTGAGTCCGAAAGAAGATAACATTCTTTAACAATTATGAAGAATTATTTCCTCTTTGCTTTGATCGTTAATGAGGAGATATTAAATAATTTCAATCAATTCTCAGTATTTACCCGGAGAAATGATGCATTTGGATCAAATTATTCGGATTTTTCTACTCATTTCAACAATTTATCAACTTCCCGATTTATCGGCTAGTTATTTTGATGAGATTGTTTTTACTGGGTGGAATGAATAATTCATTTACTCTGAAGGAATATTTTATTAGAACCTGATGAACGATTACTTCGAGCCATATAAAGCATTATTACTTGTTGATGAATTCGGTCTTGCTGTTTGGAGAGTGATTCCATTTCTAAGTAATAGTCTCTATTTCGATCAAGGATCTTTGGAGAACTATATATTATAAAACCTTTGCAGTGATTCATAAAACACTATATAATACACTATCTCTTCAACTTCACTTCAACAATAACTGCAGAACAGTCGCTTGAATTTCCACAATTGTCGAGTATTTTCATCACGCCATCAACTTAAAATTCAACTCCCTATCGAATTTCTGAAATATTGATGGTTCATTTCCTGTTGAATAATTCACGAATTTCGCTCTAAAATTTGTCCCAAATCTTCTGTCCCTCCGCGTACCACTTTAAAACCGCAAATAAAAAATGAGATAATAGTCGAACAATGACATTCCTCACTAATGTCAAAAACTCTCGAATAAACTGAGAGAACTCTCGAATAAGTTCATAATTACCGACCGGTCGCTTGATTCTCCCAAACAAAAACAAAGTCCCAACAGAGCCCCAGCCGAAGTCAACCATCCATTGATAATTTCGACCCCCATTAATTTTCTTTACAGCAGAACCCACGATTTCAACGTAAACGATCTCCGAGTCGATCAAAACTCCCTAGGCAGTGTAAATCAGTCACTCCTGACAGTCCCCCGGACCCCAGGAGACCTACCCCAGGTAACTAGCGATACGAACATATACCACCGCTATCATCGCGCCTAGCCTCAAGCAAATCAACCAAAGACTGTACAAAAAATTACACTGTACAAAACTGTGCCTGATAATAACCTCATGAAATTGTAAATGAATTGAATAAATCCCCGAATAAAAGTCCCCAAGGTGTCGAGAGCCCAAGGAGTTGTCCCCCTTGCATGCAAAGCCTCCTCAATAAAAAAAAAGACACTCTCTTCGTTTCCAGAACGTTCGCACCCGCAAATGCAGTATCGTCCAGGAAGAGGAGGACGAGGACGACGTGTCCTCGTGTTCAGGTCGTGACGACCACGCCAGTAATTCAGCACTGAGCGCCTTCAATCGTCGAGGCTCACGGTCGGAGGGAAAGCTCTCGCACCTCCTGCAGGAGCGTTTGTCCCAACTCCCAGAGAAACACGTGCTGAAGCCACCAGTGCGTCCCCTCCAGGAGACAAAAGCCTCGCCGAGTCACACATTCACAGTTGTCAGAGTAGACGACACGAAGGAGACCCCAAGACCGTGGCGAGGGCTCACTGAGCCAGATGGAAGGCCCAAGTCCCTGACGGAGTGCATTAAATCAGGCAACAAGTGGCGAATCGAGCGACCCACGACCGAAAGCCCCAAGAAATCGGACAATTACAATCTCGAAACAGCAACAACAATTCTCACTGAATCATCAACAGCCCCATCACCCCTTCGCTCTCGTCACACTGACACTGCACCCAAGTACAAGACAATGCCATCACCAGTGACGACAGAAGCCCAGACAGACAATAAGTTGAAGGAGATCCTGGAGGATGCTGACAGCTGTGAGACGAAGCCCGACGAGACGACAGCCAAATGCAGAGTTGTGAGGAGAATAGGATACGAGCAGAAGCGTAATAAATTTCACAAAACGAGAACGACGTCGTGCTCGAGTTCAGACGCCAGTGATGACGACAGTGAGAACAGAAAGAAGAGGGCTCACAAGCTCGGTGCAACAACTGGCAAGCCCCTTCCCTCGAGGCGAGACAGTCACGATGATTCGAGTGACTCACAGGAGCCAGGGGGCAATTGTGGTGGTGCTAGGGGCTTCAGTAATGGTGATAATATCCAGGTGACAGCCACCACAGACACAACTGGGAGTAATCAGGGGGGAACGACAAACACTTCAACGTCGTCAGGTGGTGGTAAATCACAGGGTAACAGTGATAATCAGGCATTGTCATTCAGCAGAAGACACAGAGCTGGTAGGAGAAGAGCGGGTGAGACACGATTACGGGAGAGTCAATCATTAAACCGCATAACCGAAGTGCAGGAGGCAGAAACACCTGTTTGTCACTCGGTGGCTAAAGCTATTGTTAATCAGTCTGTATCGTCGTCGTCTTCGTCGTCGTCGTCTGTGAGGGCAGTGACGATTAATGGGGCTGTGCAAATGTCACAGACAACTGTGCAGAGGGCCAAGGGATTTGGTGCGAGACTGCTGCAGGGCTGGAGTCTCACTAAGGGGAGTTCTGAGGTTTGTAACGATGATAAACATGAGGAGAGCCACAAGGACGAGAAGAAGTTTGTCTTCGATAAGGAGAATCGGGGCTCGATGAATAAAAGTGACTGCAAGAGCAGGAGGATTAGGCTTTTGACTAGATACTTTGCTGTTCACAAGAAACTCTGTGTACCACTTCCAGGATTCTTTGGCAAGGGGAAAAGCTCACTGTACAAGGCACGATCGTGTGGGAATATCTCCAAGGACAGGGTCTCACCACCATCGCCAAAGTCCATGCTACTTTGTGCACCTGAGGATAAATGGAGGGGACAGTGGTGTGATAAGCAGCATCAGCATCGGGGCAGCGATGGGGATATCAATCAGAATCTGGGGCTTGCTCAGTTTGTACAGGAGAGTGTTATGGGAAAGGGTTGCACTGGTTTACCTCCTATTTGTCATATTCATCTGGGCGATGCCTCCAAGTGCTGCAGTCTCTGTTGATGATTGACTGGGTCTCGAGATGACAAGTGCAATAATTGTGAGGCAACTTTGACTCTCTGTTAGACAACGACTTGTTTGTTTAGACCTTGTCGTTTTGTGACGTTTCGATTGACGTCAGTGATGGCAGTTTGGGGTTTACAGGGCAGGGGAGAAAATGATCGAGATGTTGGGGGTTTTTTAATTCAACGATTGAATCGTAGATCGATGTATCTAGTCCACGAGAGGAGGGGAACTGTATTTTTTATCTTTGCAGAGTTTATTACCATTATTTTCGTGTTTACTGATGGATTTTCACCTTTTTTGAAGTATTATTGTGTAATATAGTGGCTGGGGGGGGGGTCGTGGTAGGGGTTGTTTTAATATCAACTCTTTGATTTATAAACTCGCTCGTTTTCTCTCACTGCTGTGGCGCCGTGGTTTTTCTACCCTTCTGTTGAAAAATAATTATTATTCCTCCGTCCCTCGGTGCTTCCTCGTTCTCTTCCCCCCTACCATTCACTCCACTCTTCTCTCTACTCGTAAGTAAAAATGTAAATTAATAACGTTGAGGCATTGGTACTGTTTTTTTTTTGAATGCAAGCTTCCAAGTTGTCTCGAATTTATCAATGACTCGCGTGGATTTATGCACTCGTGGAAAAGAATTGTTCAATTTACACTGGTGGTGATTACTCGTTTTAGGAGGATGATTTTTTGGGGGAATTGGGATTTTTTGGTGAACAAATTTCAAATTAATGAGAGGTGGTGAATGTTAATTTTTTTTTAGAGACATTTATGGGAAAGAATGGGAAAATTCTGGTTTAAGTTGATGTAGTCTCCAGTGGAGGAAGTTTTTGATTTCGTGAATTGAGAAAATTGAATTTCTTTGAATGGAGATTTTTGTATGTCATCGTATGCTCAATGATTATTTTTATTCATTTAATTCATTCTGATCGACGACTTTTTTCGTCTTCATGATAATTAATGCCAAAGGTCCAGGAAATACTGGAGAAATAATTCCGATCATTGTAATTATTTCGGTGTTAATTATTAATTGCGTAAATAATTACGCCATGACAATTGAATTAAAGTTGTAAATATTACTCCAATATCCGTTGATCCTCTGGCATTAATTAATTCCGATTTGATATAAGAAATGCTCAGTTCATTCTAATTTACTTCAAAGAACGTATGAACTGGTATTCACTATAAAATCGAATTAATTTGGAAATTGAAAACCAAATAACAGTCGTTCCAAGTGAAATAATCTTTGTAAAATGAATTTTTCATTCATTTCAGTGCAACATGGCGAAAATTTAGGAAAAAAATGGTTAATAGGGGGGAAAAAAATTTAATGCAGCTGTCTCAATATTGTTTTGTGCATTGTTTAGGTAATCTCATCTCATCTCACCCCATCCTCCAGTAGTCTCGAGAACAAAAACATAATAAAAATAGAAGAAAAAAAAAGATAAACGTTATGATAAAAACCATAAAATCTGCGTGAAAAGCAATTACCCGAGTGTTTTTGTTGGTCACCGCTCTGAGGGCCCGTTACATTCTCATTTCGCCCCCTTCCCCGAATTTTTTATATGCATAAAAAAAGTAAAATAATATGGAATGCAGCGGTGGGCCGCCATACTCCTTGCACGAACACAAGGATGTTTATATGTACCTATTGTCGAATTATAACGATTACCTACATGTATGTACCGAGCCAGACGTTTACCTAGAAATAATACAACATTTATTTATTATAACAAAACTCACGACTCCATATTTCATTTTTCCTTGACAATAAAATAGCGAAGACGGTTTAAGTGACCTGCCCTTAGCTGAGTTTTCGAGGAATATCTCGAAATCTGAGGGAGATAACGAAATTTCCATAATGACCTTTTTTGTAGAGCGAATTGAGGGCTACAAAAAAGGTCCTGATAAAAATTTTGCCATCTCCCTTAGATTTCGAGATATTCGTTGAAAACTGGACAATAGTTAAACTTCACTTGGAATTCACTTTTTATCGCTTCGTTACTGAAAACACGTGCACTTGTCGTGATTCGTGTATTTTTAATTCCACATCAGGTAAGTCTTGTACATAATTTACATAATACTGATTATTAATGTATGAATTGATACAAAAATATTCCAGGCAGTTTTTAAATTAATCTCTGCAAACATGAGGTAGTTGCCCAAGGGAATACTAATTTAAATTCGGTGGAAGTAAAAAATAGTCTACATTTCAATTAGTTGATGCAATTCTGAAAATACCTAGGTATTAAAAAAATCATCTCACATGATTTATTCACTCATTTCCTCCGAGTGAAATTCAATAATTATATTAACTATTCCTTATTTCAACCATTCAATCGTGGAAAAACCGCGAAATATTTACTGAGGAAGCTGAGGGGAGTGTGTGGGCTGTATCAAAGTGATTAGCCCCGGACAATGTCATCGAAGAGTCGCTGGACGTTGAATATGTAATTGTAATTGTCTTTGACGAGTGCAATTACCGAGAATACACTTGAATCATCCAGTCTTTAGAGTGCGTTTTTGATTGAATTCAATCTCGTTGCGTGAATTATTTACGGGGACGGCGATGGCTGACTATCCAGATGCTTGAGCACCTTCTTGCTGTTCTCCACGAACTCCTAATGGACAATATCGATTAATAATAATTCAACAATTCACTGAAGTGCAACAGAACTCCGGACTCCGTATTTCATGTTTTTAATTCCACATCGATTGAGTCTTTAACATAATTTACATAATACTAATTTATTAAATGTATGAATCGGTACAAAAATATTCCAAGCAGTTTAAAAATTAATCTCTGCAAACATGGGATCCCCACCCAAAGGAATACTAATTAAAATTCGATGGAAGTAAAAAATAGTCTACATTTCAATCAGTTGATGAAACTCTGAAAATACCTAGGTATTAAAAAAATCATCTCACATGATTTATTCACTCATTTCCTCCGAGTGAAATTCAATAATTATATTAACTATGACTTATTTCAACCATTCAATCGTGGAAAAACCGCGAAATATTTACTGAGGAAGCTGAGGGGAGTGTGTGGGCTGTATCAAAGTGATTAGCCCCGGACAATGTCATCGAAGAGTCGCTGGACGTTGAATATGTAATTGTAATTGTCTTTGACGAGTGCAATTACCGAGAATACACTTGAATCATCCAGTCTTTTGAGTGCGTTTTTGATTGAATTCAATCTCGTTGCTTGAATTATTTACGGGGACGGAGACGGCTGACTATCCAGATGCTTGAGCACCTTCTTGCTGTTCTCCACGAATTCCTGATGGACAATATCGATCGATAATAATTTAACAATTCACCGAAATGCTGTCGGCATGGAATTAAATCCAATTATCAACGATTAACTCACCATCAGGCCGCGGCTCATGAAGTAGGGCCGACTGATGCCGTCGTTGCGAGCGCAGTCCTCGCAGAAGCAGAGGAAAATCGTGTCGATGATCATCTGAGGAAGGAAGGGATCGTTAATAATGTAGGGGGGACGGGGAATCTTTTGAATAATTTTCTACCTCGTAAATGGAAATGAAGCAGTGGGCGACGAGGAAGGCGAACACTCCGGCGATCGCAATTGGCACCCAGGGGTGGTGCAGTCCATACTTCTTCTGGAACAAATGATTATGAGGGGCCGAATCCCGAGAGGATTGTCAATATGAACGTGAAAATTAAAACAGAGAGAAATGGTTTCTTTGAATTGAATGAATGGGTTTGTGTCGACAGCTCGCAATACACGGAGCGAAAAATTTGTTCTCCCGAAAAATTATATGTTCCATGGGAAAATATTTGAGGAAGTGGAACAGATATCACTTAATTTTTTTTTTAATATACATGGAGAGAAATTTTCTAGAAAAATTCTAGTACGAGTACTGGGAAAAATCACAATTCACCGGCTGTGAAAAATTCTAGTGCTGTTAAGGTAAAATTTCTTGGTACTTCTGGTAGAATTTCTGGGGATTTCTGTGAAATTTTCACAGAAATACGGAGAAAAATTCACGTTTTCCCAATAAAATTTCCAGTGCCGGCACTGGAATTTTTTCCTGGCTGTTACTTTGCGCCTCTTTTCCCGTGCTAGACGCTAGAATTTTTCTAAAAAATTTCTCTCCGTGTATCCTAAAATCAAGTATATTTTATAGTCGAATGGGGGATGGATGTTTCAATTCGAGGATGATTATTTCGTCTCAGCCCGGGTTGTACCAAGCGTTCTCAAGTGTAATATAAGGTTCAGACGCTAAGTGTGAGAACATAAGGGTCAAAAAGTGGAGGTTAAAAAATGAGGGTCGGAATATTAGAGTCAAAAACTGAGGGCCTGAATGTAAAGGTGAAGGAATGAGGGTCAGAATGTTAGGGTTAAAAAAAGAGGGTCAGAATATGAGGATCGAAAAATTAGGGTCAGAATATAAAAGTGAAAAAAGTGGGTGTCAGGCAGTGAGGGTCATATAAGGGCTAAAAGCGGTGATCAAGTATAATATATGACTTATATTTAGACCCTCATTGCCTGACACCCACTTTTTTTACTTTTATATTCTAATGTAATCCTAATGTTTTGACCCTAATATTCTGGCCCTCATTTTTTAACCTCCACTTTTTGACCCTTATATTCTGACCCTTAGTGCCTGCCCCTTATATTACACTTAAGAGGGCTCGCTACAAACCGGCCCGATACAAAAGAATCATCTTCGAATTAAAATACCCATCCCCCAATTGATTTATTTTATACTCAATTCAAATATATTTCTTCCGTGATAGAAGAAAATTCAATATCTTTCACAAAAATTAGTTTTTTTTGCGATAATTAGAAATACCCCTAGCGGAATTCGAACTGTTGCCAGGCGACAATATAATCTATTGGCAAATACAAATATAAATATAATCTATTGGCAAAACTCGAAATTATTGAGTTTTGCCAATAACAGTTTTACCAAAAAACGACATATTCTCCAGCATATTGTTAATGTATTAGCAAAAATAACTACTATATACAATACAAGACCAATATCCAACTTGTTTAATTGAAAAACATTTCGCTCTAGGTAATTTTTCCCAACTTTTCCCTCCGTGTAATAACTGCCAAATTCCTGAAAATCAAAACGTGTTTGTCCCTACGACCGTACAAATATAATTTCTCTCACCTGTATAAGATAAACTCCACAGAGAACAGTGAGCGCAACGACGAGTACCTTCCCCAAAAATAGCACAAAATCTCCAACGCTATTGATTGCCGCTACCCTCAAAATATTATCAGAGAGTGCACGAAATGCTTTTTTTCCCCCAGTGCAAAAACTGCATCCGTAAATTGCTGTGGAAGCCGCCGGCAAAAAAAATGTTTATCTCACTTCTGAATATTCATACCAGCGACAGTGAATAATACCGTGCAAAAACTCACCAGTTTCGATATAAGCGTTTCTCGTGAGAAATTTGAGACAACACTCGAAGCACCACGTGCAGCACTGACAGCACCAGAGTATCCCATTGACAAAGTCATTATCATATCCCTTCAGTCTATTTTGAATGAATGCTATGATAGCGCGCAGTAATCTCACAATACCGATGATCATGGCACCAAATGCCACTGTACCGAGATGAAATCGCAGCAAACAGCATGTACTGCGTGTCACTGGCAGTGACAGGCGTTTTTTATCCCTGCGAAATGGCAATTTAAATCCCTCGAAAATTGACCAATTCATTTTTATGGGTAAAAAATACACGGTTGCACCGATATTTTCATCTCACCTCGTGAAAAACCATCGGGCCACGGCACCGGCCACCACCATGTGCTGACAGCCGAAATAAAACTCAGCCATTACGAAATACATAAAGATATTGTACCACCGGGCAGTCTAAACAGTACAACAGATCATTTTTTATTGAAATTCTCACTAGTCGGTGATAAGACACCGCGAAGTGGTGGTTGAATTTTTTTTTTGGTGCTCATTTTTATTGCAATTAGGTAATAACTATTCGACATAATTGGAGCTCTGGGGAGTTTTTAGCAGTGATTTTCGGACGACTGACATTTGACTTCATTTAGGGGTAAATGGAGTTATGAAATTTCAAGTTTCAACTGACAATATGACGGAAATGCACTTAAATTTCCAATTGAACTGCACTGATCGAAAAAATTATTTTTATTGAGGTGTTACTTTCGTGGAACAAGTATTATATACTTGAACCAGTTTCAGATGAATACGATCTTACGGTGAATATAAATTATTTCTTCTTGAGATACATTTACTTGAATCGAATAAAACAGTCCTTGGCGTCAAGTCACATGTATTCACCACGAAAATGGAAAAGTTCAATTTTTTTAACGTAATATAATCTCCAGTCGAGAAATTTTCTACTTCCATGAATTGATAAAAAATTCGTACCTAGGAGATGATTACATTGAGGAATGAATTGAATGTTGTTTTCTCGAATGAAGCCGATGTTTAAATTGAGCTTTCCGTACATCACATTGAACGAAATTTGTGATATCCAAGTTTGTGTAGAATTGCCGTAATTTGTGACTCTGTTGTTGTAAACTAATGCGATTTTTTTAGTCAAGAAATATAAACTTCTTTCAACTCAACGACATCTCACTACAATCTCAAAGCTTTTTCCGCGTAACAATATTCACCCTGATTCGACATACGAAATGCTCACTTCAATTATAATTTACTTGGAACAACGTATGATCGTGTTGACTGAGATAACAACGTATTTAGTCATGAGAATAACTTTGATTTTTGAGTAAACCAACGAATTTCTGGAGTTGGCAAACTTTTGGCTAGAAAGAAATCAAATACCCTCATTATTGCGACAAATAAAAGGAACTTCAATTCTAGAGACGTTCGATTTCTCCCAATCAAATGTATCTCAACAAGAGATAGCTGGTATTCAGTATGAAATCATGTTTATTTGAAAATTAACAACCAAATAATAGTTGGTTCGAATAAAATGCTCTCGATAAAATTAATTTTTCTGTCAGTGTGATTTTTTTCGAGTCCACGTTATTTCGAATAATCGAACTGAACTTCGATGTTTCTCTTGACTGTTTCGTAAGAGTTGCATTTTTTTCAAGAAATTTGCTGACATTTCGTGTAAGCGAACGACGACGGAATTCAATGCATAATTGAGATGCATGAGAAATAATGAATGAACTCCGTAACGACGTTTGTAATGTAACAAACAGAATAAGTGTCACGTAATGAATATTCATGGATCATGTAATGTGTTTATCAGTTCTCTGCAATGTCCACTTTTTCAATTTCGTATTCAGTCGGATAAGGCATGGGCTCTCTATTTCTGAATATTCTTCTTTTGCCCCACCGAATAAACTCTCTCTGTATAATGTAATACAATAATATGTGACCTGGATCACGTATATATCCGATAAGACCCCTTATTGAAGAATTATGTTCAGCGAAAGTATAATTCACTCCATGTTATATTTCCTGTTTTTTTTCCGTTCTAATAGATAATTAATTCACTTGAAAAAAAAAATCATTCTTTTCAAAATGTAATTTGATTCACTCATATTTGTCACTCATGATTTCGTCCAAATTTTAACGACCAATTTGTTAAATTAAATTCAACTAAAACCTCTCCAAAATATATGTTATTAATCGATTTCAATAAATGTTGATATATCGCCCCGATCGATCGTGCAGGGGGGCTCAGCCCCCTCCCAGGGGGCCACACCCCCTGTTCAAAGCAAAATGAAATGCCCGGAAATTGAAAAAAATTTCACCATTTTATTCATAAAGAGAAAATGTTGAAACAAAACTTATTCTTGGAAAAATGCCATTTGAATGCCACTAGTGACTCAGTTTTTCTAAATATTCTCATGCAACTCAACTCTAAAATTTACCGAAAACCCCTCCAAATTTATCTGTTGGCACTCTATCCTACCAAATATTGACTAAAAAAGTGACTCTTTTTTCCAAATTTAACTAAAACCTCTCTCAGTTTATCTGTAACTAATCTATTCCCCCAAACGTTGATATATCCCAATCGATAGTGCAGGGGGGCCCAGCCCCCGCGTCTATCGCTCCACGCAATGAGACTCCCTAGCCCCCAGAAAACCAAAATAAAGAGCTCACCACAAGAATAGCATCCTTCTTATAATGCAGATGATTCTTCCGATTTTTGTAAAGTTCCCCAGCGCTCTCGATCCACAGTACACAGTAAACCCAAGCAACAAAGGATAAACCAATGAGAAGATACGTCTGTAATAAATTCCCCGTTGAAAAAAAACAAAAGTACAAAACCCATGAAAAATACCCTAAAATATCGACGTAAAACTTTCTCACCAAACTTTGAGCTTGTGAAAAATACTCACGTAAATGGGTTGAAGAAGTAGCGCTGGCATCGAGTAAACGGCTTTGCCAGCTTCTCGAAAGAGTTGCACCACAAGAGCTATTCTTTTTCTCATAACGAGAACAACTAGTGCAGTGACGACAGCAACAATTGTCATGAGAATAGCATAAATGAGATACGGTGTTACACTTGAATCATCCACATGTATCTCACCCGTCTTAACAGCTCTTCTCTCCTGGTACCAAGCAAGCCTGGGATATTGTACGAATAACCACGTTTAATAATCGTTGTTTTCCCACTGAATTATTAAGCACAGTGGAGGAAGGGAAATTGCATTACCAGAGATAAATTGTTCCGCCAATGGAAACGACAACTGAGCCACTGAGAACGATGTAAATGACGTACGATACGATGTATCGGAAAGCTATCAGAATGCCGAGTGATATTGCTGTGGGTAAGTGCCAGAATTATTTAGTGAATTGGTAAGAATCGTCATGAATGCAACAGCAGAGTGATCCGGTGAATAAATTACCTAGAGCAATTAGCAGGAGATAGATTAACTCGCGCCAGGCGATGTTCAGGTCGCTCGATGCCTCCTAGATTGGGGAAAATCATTTTAAAAGGCATCTCTATTTTTTATTCAGTGATATTAATTGTGTATGATCGGCCAACTTGTCGTCGATTCTTACGTTGAAAAAACTCTCCAGTCCCAGGGTTTTCAGCACCGAATTAGCACTGCTGGTTACTTTTTTAGGTATGCAACGGTTGAGGAACTGAATTCTGTGGATTTAGGAAGTGAAATGTATTCGGTATTGACGTTCTGTCCACTCGATTTTCGGCCAAAAGGGGCAGTACTCAATTATTCAATTCGTTGGAAAATGGTGGTTTGAAGTAATGAAAATTGAATTGGGGTGATTCTTCGGGTTGTGGTGCAATATCGGGAATTAATTATTGGGAAATATTATTGGGAATATAGTGTTATGAATGTTCAAGTTTGGGTGATACGGATTGAAGAAAACCAGAAGTTAATTATATTTTGAATTCGATAAAGTCTATTTGAATTTAATAAATCGTTCTTCAGTGGTGAACGAGTGTTTTGTTGATTCAAATAAAATTATTATCTTCATTCGTGAGAAATGAGATAATTTTTGTTATGCAACGGCTGAGGAACGGAATCCTGTGAATTTATCAAACACGGAAATATTCAGTATTGACTCTTCGTCCACTGGATTTCAGTTCGAAGGGGCAATGTTCAATAATTCAATTTGTTGGAAAAAGTTGGTTTAAAGTACTCCAAATTTAATTGGGTCGATTTTTCGGTTTGTGAGGCATTATCGTGTATTATCACCAATATAATGTTATGAATGTTGAAGTTTAAATGGAAGAAATTAACCGGATGAAAATAGAAATTGAAGAAATCCAATAGTCAATTATTTTTTTAATTAGATGAACTCTATTGGAATCACATAAATCGCTCTTCGATTGTGAGCGAATGTTTTGTTGATACAAATAAAATGTTCATTAGTTCGAAATATAATTTAAATTGATAGCGTATCAAATTTTATTCTACGTTAGAGAAATTTTATCCTGATAAAAATAAAAATTACTGTACCGGTAGGATAAAATTTACCAACCGTTCTAGAATTTTCGTTTTTCATCTACATAAAAATTATTGCACTGGAAGGATAAAATTTCTCTAACGTAGAATAAAATTTGAACATCATATATTAATTTTAACTAAATTTCGGGATAGAAATGCGGAAACGGTGACTCATATGATACACTTTTATAGAACGGTAAGATTTTTATGAAAAATTTATCTCCGCGTAGAACAAAGAGTTGGATTTTCCCCGAAAATTCCCAAAAAAGAGCGAATACTCACTGGTCACCGAAGCTGCTGCAATTTGACACACACATCCGGCTTTTGACACCATTGGTGCCCACCGCGACATGAAGATACTTGAGATTTCTCATGTCAGCGCCTTTGCAACTGAATTCCGGATTTGTCTCGGATGGTGTAATGCGCCCGCAGACGTTGGCACAATCGTCATAGCCATTTACCAAACGATGGACGTCACCTCGCTTGATGGCAGTGGTCATGAAGAAGCCCTGTTTAAATGTAATCAATGTCATTGGGTTTAACTCTCCCCCCTCCCCCCGGGGTTTTATATCTTTCGGTTAAATCCACTCGACCACTTACAAAACCACCAACGAGCACTACGAGGATAATGAGTGCAGCTAGATCAGTGCATGATCTGTTCTGGGTAAAAACTTTCTCACCCTCGCCCAACGACGGCTCCTCCTGATCAGGCGTCTGCAAGCCAGAAGTTTATCCCTTGATTAATCGAGGACTCATTGTGTTGGGATTTAACTACAAACTGAGCAAGGGCAAATGGCTCTTGAATATTTAATTGAAAACCACTGAGTCAACAGACTTGAGAGTATCTCGTTGGTGCGTTTGGTTCTTGATTGTGCAGCATCTGCTGTTTCAATACCCATTGAATTTCTAATATTAATTATCGGTACTGGAGTTTCAGCCAATATTTTGACAGCCGGTAGTTGAAAAGTCGGACAGTCACTTGTCAATAACCTAATGGAGTTTGAAGAGGAGGGAAGTGTAGTGAGAGAAAAAAATACTGAATGTCACAAAAATGGAACTCCATCAAATATTTTCTTTTAATTAATTATTTTAATTAAATTAATTAATTAAAACTAATTAATTAATTCATTATTACCTTTAATTAATTAATAAAGAATTAATTTACTTGAGGGAAATTAACCAATTTGATAGAAGGAAATTTATTATCTGTCACAAAAATTAAATTCTTGTCTTAAATTCTGTTGCCAGGAAAAAATACAACAATACAATAAAAATACAATAACTAGTCTACTACTATAATCATTTCAGGGATAGCCATACCCATAAATTATAATTATTAAAATAATCATCAATTTAAATATTCAAATTCCGAATTATCTGAAAAATCGCAAATCCCTAATAAGAAATTTAGTATTATTCACTCACCAGAAAATTTACAATTCCACATTATTAACCATTGAATTCACCCTCAATTGGAAATTTAGATTATCAATCATTTCCCTATTTTTAAATTTCGATTAGTATCTTTAAACATTGATCAAAGCAAGTCAGAAATTCATAAAAAATTGAAGAATCAGAACTCTTCCACCCCTGAATCCCTCATCATTAGAATAAAAAAACCTTGCTTCTATTTCCAGAGAGAATTCCCTCAGCATGAATGAACAATTTCTTCCACACAATTGAAAAATATCCTCCAAACAATAAAAATAAATGAATTCTCCTGTTTATACTACCGCCATTCCCCCAACCCCCCACCTCCCTTCACCTCCAATAAAACCCACCTCAACCTAAAGTAAAACCAAAGAGAGAAAAAAATTCAATTACCCCAGGCTCAACCTTCGACCCATCCTCCCCACATCCGCAGCACGCCATTCTCGATATCAGCAGTGATCTCCTGATTCTCGATACCCCAAGACAATCAGGTATCTTGCTATCTCCACTCCTCTCAGCGGCGCATCTAGTCTCGGTCCTCCCCACTCCTGAAACCCATCAACCATGAGTTTCCCATAACCGTCAATATCAATTCCCCTCATTCTTCCTCAAGACGTTTGAATTCACCCCGATATCTCGGGAAATGCGAATTGCCAGTGAATCCACGTCTAGACAAACTAATTGACCAGTAATTACTATCAGCATAATCGATCTACGACACATTCCACTAACCGTCCAATCCATTCCGCCGCCCCCGCCCCCGCCCACCCGCCCAGCGAAATGTCGAACGATTCCCCGAATGTGATTACGTTTGAGGGTTTATCCGTAGAGTAAACTCATAAGCGGGCATGAAAATACAAAGCTGCGAGTCTCGTCCAGTATCCGACGATCGATTGAACATCGAACAAACCTGCACTGGAAGGCTCACATACAGACAACACGCGATTTCACCCGCGTGACTCTTCCACATAGCAACGCTCCATTATTATGTTTTTTATCCTTCCCGTGTCTTTTTTTGTTCTGGAGTTTTCTCCCTCATCCCTCCGCTCTGTAATACCACTTCTCCACCACTATTTCGACATGGATCTGTGCGGAATTGCAACGTGACTCGTCTGCAGTGAAACACGACTCTCGATGGGTATTATCTCTGTCACGAAATAGCAGTCTCGCGCATAATGCATAATTCCGGTATTATGAGCGAAAGAATGCGATTTGGCGGGCCTCGGTGGAGTATCGAATTCCCCTAAAAGTTGAGGTAAATGCGCCTATGCTTGCTCTGGTGTGTCCCAAGGATCTATGGAAGGTGACGTATGGTTGGAGACGGAGAGGAAAAATTAGCCCTGACGGAAGAAGTTAATTTTATCGAGAGAATTTTATTTGAACTAACTATCATTTGCAGTGTTGGAAATTTTTTGAAACTTCGGGGAAGATTCTGTAGGAAACCTCGTGAGAGTGAGATTGAATCGGATTTAGGGAAAATGCAGTTATGATTAATTTTTCCCTGAATTTTCAGAGAATAATTGAACTGAAAAATCAATTATTTTATTGATTTCCGGATTATTTGAACAGAAAATTAACGGAATATTTGATTTCTCAATGACAAGATTTTCTGAAATTTAATGATCATCAGAGTGATCATCAGAAATATCCCTAGAAGAAACTTCGTGATAAATTCTCAAAAGTAACATTCCTCTGAAAATTAGTGATGATTCCCCTGAAAATTAGTGTCGATGTCAGTAGAAATTAGTGGAAATGTCTTTGGAGGCATGTCCCCGAAAATAAAAATAAAATTTTCTCTATTGAACTGTTCACTTGCAGCTCCACTCGTCTGCAATGAAACAGAACTCGATGGGTATTATCTCTCCCCCGAAATCCCAGTCTCGCTCATAATGCATAATCCCGGCATTATGAGTGAAAGAATGCGATTTGCGGCGTGCCTCGCTGAACTATCAAATTCCCCAAAAAGTTATAATATTAAATTTTTCAGGAGCGAAATAAAAATAACCGCGCCAAACTCCCGGAATTCGCTCGCTGGCGTGGTTTTATTTTCATTCCTTCGGCGTTCGTGTTATTTTTTCATTTTTACCCTGTTTTTTTATTTATCGAAGGGGAAGAGGGCGAGGTTGATGGATTGCGGTTCAACTTTTCACCACCGACCCCACCTGAATTCCGTCTAGACACCTCTATCTTTATCCTCATTATCACAAAGTTTTTGTTGTGCGGTGATAGCGGAGTTTGATGATGTATAAGTTTACACAATGCATCTTGAGTTTTAACAAAGTGCCGACACGATTACGTGCTTTACACCGAGAAAAATGACGCATTTTGAATCGAAGTGAAAGAGTATTTGTGAATTTTTTACGTGAATACGTCTTTAAGGATAATATTTTTAATCATCAAATTTGTCAGTTAAATTGCGGGAGAAAAGTTGGAATAAAATCATGAACATTCCGCGTCATTAAAATGATATTTTGCACGGAATTAATAATAATTGAAATTGTGTAAACTTTCGAAAATCTTAATTCGTTATTCCCAAATAACAATTATTCCACCAATCTTTCTCCAACAGTAAACTTTCAATTTTTTTTAAGATTCTTAAAATGTTTTCTAACGGTTCAACATCGAACTTTAAATTCAGACCTGCACGGAAAGAAATTTTCGATAGAAATTATCCTACCATTCTATAAAAGTGTATCATGAGTCATCGTTTCCTCATTTCTATCCCGAAATTCAGTAAAAATTAATATATGATCAAATTTTATTCTACGTTAGAGAAATTTTATCCTGATAAAAATAAAAATTACCGTGCCGGTAGAATAAAAATTATTGGACTGGAAGGGTAAAATTTATTATGCGTCAGGATAAAATTTCTCTAACGTAGAATAAAATTTGATCATCATATATTAATTTTCACTAAATTTCGGGATAGAAATGAGGAAGCGATGACTCACAATACACTTTTATAGAACGATAGGATGTTGATAAAAAATTTCTCTCCGTGTGCAAAGTTTAAATAATAAAATCATTGTAAAATGCCCTGACAGTTCTCAAAAATTCTATCAACTCCACACAAAATTTTTCAACCATATAAACAATATCGTTATCCCTAAATACCAATCCAACTAAAAACGACTTTTTAGCCCCATTAAACCCAATTTAACTTAACTCAAATAAACCACTCCTCTGAATGTAGTCTTCAGTCGAGAGACACAACAATCCAACTGTCTGAATCTATAGAGTCAAGGCCTCCTCAAGTGCACAACAGAGTGCCTCCACATGACTCACGAGCAATTTTTCCTCTTGTTCCAGCTCTCCACACGCTCATTTTACCAAGCGCTCTTTTCTCCTGTTTTTCGTCCCCCGCTTTTTGTCCTGTTTTTTCCCCATTGTCTCATCCTCTCGAATGCGTCACGCGATTCACCGGCAAACAACAGTAAGTCGAGGACAATTTCACGAATGCTAATCGGAGCGCATGTGGACAACTCGATCGGATCGCTGGGCACACGAGTCGATGACCCTTCGCATGGACAAACACGACAGCCTTTTACCCGCATTGACCATTGCACTAGCATCAATCATCTCCAGTGGCAAACTTTTTCCCTAATTTATCCCATTTTATTTCCTTTTTGTCCCTTTCATGGCCATAAAAATGGTGCACCGAGTGTAACCCATCAGTTAAATTACCCCCGGGGGCACTCTACTTGTATTTTAATCAAGCATCGAGATCGCTTTGACACACATCCCTCAAGTATACTACTGAGCAATCTAACAAGCCCCATAAAGTGGGTTAGTCGTGTCCTCAAATCCAAGGGAAAGAAAAAGACTGAAAAAAAGAGCGAGAGGGGGAAAAAAATTTGTGAGCACTGGGTAATTGTAAAAAGTAGGGGTAGTCTGGCGAAAAAAGGGGAAAAAAATGAGAATGGGAGACGGAAAAAAGGTGGAGTCCTCTCGTGACGCTGTTACCACCGCGAGTTTGTAATAATTTCCGTAATCGTCTGAGCACGCGATGCAGTTTTCCGTTGAGGCAGAAAGTGGAAAACATACGTTGCACAATGGGTAAAGGGGTGGATAAAAAATTCTATTGACGTGCAGTCGTGAGTGGTGAAAAACACACCGCTGTTGGCTGGCTTTTTTGTTCGGGACAAATTCCCTCGGAACAATTCTCCAGTGACCTTGAGCCAAATCGAATAACCAGACGGGTGAGAGAGAGCCTTGAAGTTCAACGGGTTTTTCTTGAATTCAGTCACGTTCACTCGGTCTGTACTGATTGAGATGTTTTTTATGGGTTTTTAGTTTTGTAATACATGAGCTCGGTGAATACTGATTGGGAGGGCGGGGAGGGGAATGTTTATGCGTTGGTGAGTCAGGTCGGGGGATTTTCATGCTTTTTGGCTTTCCCTTGGGGAACAATGGACGTCGTTGACGGTGAATTGATCGGGGATTTATTGTCGGTGCGAGTGGATCATGCACTTGAGCTCTTTATCATCTTTTAATTCGTGGGACAATTCGTTTTTGTTGGGGAAAATTAACTGGCGCGGAGGAAAAGACTGATTTTCAGGGGAATGGAACTGGCGGCCTGGGACGTGTCACTGGTTTTCAGGAATCCGTCATCGAGTGGTGGGGGTAGTGGGAAGTGAGTAGTGACCACGATTGTCACTGATTTTTATCAAGGAAACACTGGTGAAAAATTAGGCGGAATTTTCCGGAAAAAGAGATCGAAGTCGATTTAAGGGGATAAAGTCAAGGGAATTTCAGACTTCTCGGCACTGATAGAATGATTCATTTATTCCAAACGATATTCGTTAACTATTGATGAATGGTTCACTTGAAAGGTGAAAGTCGAGTCGTATAAGATGCCTCAAATATGCATTTGTTAAGAATAATTAATCCTTTCTGTTAGCGTGGAAATTTAAGTAAAGTACCATTTTTTAATATTCTCTGCCAAATTCCCTTGAATTTTTAGCCAATTCCTTTGAAATTCTTGGAATGCGAGCAATTTTTGAAGGAATTCCCTGAAATTTCAGAGAAATCTGGAATTCAGAAAGGAATTTCTCTCAATTTTCCAGATTTTTCATTCATTTTCTTGAAATAATTAAACTGAAATTTACAGCTCCCACGGGATTCTCCATGAAATTTTGAATTTTCAATGACACAATTCCTCGAAATTTCAGTGGAAATGTTACTGATTAGAAATTTCCAAGACTCTTACCCGAAAAATTTCAGTGAGAAAATTTTAACAGTTTAGATTTCCAAAAATTAGAGATATTTCTCTGAAAATTAGTGATAATGTCCCTAAAAATTAAAGACGATGTCACAGGAAATTAATGATGTCACTGAAAATTGGTGATAAAATGACTGAATTTTACAATCACGAATCCCTAGAAATTGGGATAAATCCCTGAGAATCACTAAGAAGTCTCTGAAAATCAAAACTTTTCCTCCTCTGGGAAGAAAAAAATCCTTATCGCCAATTGTAGGCAATAGTGAATGGTAACTAGAATAACCTTGACAGTGATATAATCCTCCGTCCCAGGCCTTCTATTTATTT